TCCCAAAGCACCATGTGGGGCAAGGGGAGACACAGCCTGTCTCGGAAGATGTGACAGACAGAAATGCAGACCGACAGTCATCCATAACGAGGATGGTGCCAGGTGTGTAAGGTTCTAACACCAGTGTTCCCCAGAATGTGACTGTGTGCAGCACAGGGGTACTCAGCAAACAGACTTGGAGCCCTATGCTGGTGTGAATTTGTTATTTTAATAGTTTGGTATTTGTTTTAACATATAATGAGAAAAATCTTAATTTTCCACTTGTGATGATATAAAGTTTCTCTCTTAAATAAATGTAACTTTTAAAAAAACCAGTGATGTTGAGAAAGTAATAGCCCAGGGATATGTACTGTGGCCAGGTCCTGCAGGCTCTGTCAGGCGAAGATTCCTGAAGATGGGGATCTCTGCCCACTTCCAGGGCCATCAGGGAGCCGCATGGTCTCCATGGAGATAAGCAATGTCTCCAGACTGACATTCTGCACTTTCTTCAAGTCACTGAGCACTGATGTTTTAGTGTCTATTTCCTGGCTCTGAGCCACTGGCCTTGCCCTCTCTAAACCTTCTGAGCCCCCGTCCTTAGGTTTTCTGATCTTGTGAGAGGTCACCTCACTTCCAAAGCAAGATGGAGGAACCTTTCCCATGATCCTCTTGGAGCTTGGAAGAGTGTTTGTCAGTTGTTGTTTTTACGGTGGTGGTCATTCACCATATTCCTCATCAGCCTGGTCACAAGTGTGTCCACGTCTGCAAACAACACCATTTAATAATTAACAGCTTCGTCGGGAACTTCCTTCAGAACTGTTCTCACATGGAGGAAGAACATTTTCTTCTCAAAGCCACAGCCTTCAAATTTTTAATAACTTACAGACAACATTGGTGGTTCAGTGGTAGAATTGTCAAATTTATAGAAACTGTCCATGGGAGGATAAAGCTGAAGAGAGAGAGGATGGAAGTCAGCCCCTCTGGAAAGGCTCGTCCTTCAAGCGTGCTGGGCTATGGCCTCCTCCATGCGGACTCTGGAGGCAGAACCAACGCAACTGCACACAGTGGCTCCATGCCTTGTCTCTCCTTCATTCTTCTCCTTTCACATTCACGAGACTTCCTCCTCTCGAGTGGGGGCTTCTGAGGGCAGTGGCTACATCCTGATCTCTCATTGAACAAGTAGTTGCTGGGGGGTCCATGTGTCCCAGGCCCTGGCCTGAGAACTGGAGAGTGGGGTGTGAAGGATGGAGGTGAGTGTCTCCCTCACATGGCTCAATGTCCCTACATCTCCTGGTGTCTATTGTAGGTGTATTAGTTACCCACTGCCACGTAACAAGTTGCCCCCAGATTTAGCAGTGGAACAAACATAAATGCATACCTCACACATTTTCTCAGGAAGTCATGGGTACACAAGGAAAGCCACAAGGTTGTCGATTCTTTCAGATAAAGTTTTTGCTCCACAATATGCTTATAGTTGATATAAGGTGAGAGGAATCCAGGAGCAGTTTAGCTGGGTACTTCTGGCTCAGGGTCTCTCAGGAGGCTGGGTCGGGCTGTCTGCCAGGGGACCGCCCTATGAAGACTACACTAGGCTGGGGATCTGCTTCCAAGCTCACTCATGAGGCTATTGGCTGCAGGCCTCAGACTCTCACCACATGGGCTCTCCATGGGGTGATTGTGACATGGAAGCTGGCTGCTCCCCAAATGAATGATCCAAGAGAGAGCAGAAGGAGTGAGCAAGAAGGAGGCTGCAGTGTCTTTTGTCCCATTTCAGAAGTGACACATCAGCTCATCTGCCATGTTCTGTCTGACACACAGACCAACCCTGGAGTGAGGTGGCATGCTGGACCTTCTCTGGGTCTTGACATTTATGCGATAATGCATTGCTTTAAAATTATACGTGGATATAATTGATAGAGCTATGACTGCAAGTCAGTGAAGAGAAGCCAGTGCTATTGAAAGAAGGACCGGTTTCTCACTTTTCTTGAGAGAAGGGACCGGCCATGCCAGACCGGGCCATGGAGGACATGGAGGAAAAGCCGGGTTTGGCCAGGCCCGAGCGGGAGGAAGGGAAGAGAGGTCAGACTCGTGATTGACTGGTTTGAACAATACAAGTGGGCTCTGGGCTGCAGGGATTCTCTAGCTGTCTGATACCTGTCCGGGATTAGGGCTGGGACACACCTGCTTGGCGGAGAGGGAAGTGGCCTTGAATCAGCTTCTTGGTTCGGAAAAGGTGACTCTAGGTGGGGTGACTTGCAGGAGGGAGGTAAGTAGTTGGACCAGCAATTTGGCATCTGATTTGTAGATGTCGCCTAGACACAGAATCTGGGGAAACAGCCGGATCGCATGTACCCGTGGAGACAGTATCACACACAGTCTCGCTGCCCTAAAGGTCCCCCGTGCTCAGCTCCTCCTCCGCTCTGTCCCTGTCCCTAGCTCCTGCAACCACTCATCTTTTGTCATCTCTAGACTTTCACCTTATCCAGAATGTCATGCTGTAGGAATCATAACGTGCACCACCTTTAGAGACTGGCCTCGAAAATTCCTCTGTGTCCTCTACTGGCTTATAGCCCATTTATTTTCCTTAAAAAACAAAAACAGAAACAAAATGTAAGCATACTTTTTTCCACCAGCCTTGTTGACTGTATAATTTTGGAGTATTTTTAATCTTTTACTAAGCCTAAATAATTGAGTAGTCCACTCAGCTAGCCTGCTGCTACCACTTGAAGAAAAAAGCCCACTTTGTGTATGGGCTGCCTAATAACTTAACTTCCTCTTTATTTCTCTTTCTTTCCCTTGCAACCATGTTCTCTAAGAATCTTGCCAGACCCTTCATGTTCTGCTTGTCTAATCATTTGTGAAAAATCTCTATCCAAAACCATTATATGTAATATTTAGATTTTATTTAGCTTGCAAAGCAATCAAGTCTTGCTGAAAGAATTCAACTCTTTCAGAAGAAAGCCTAGATTCCTTGTATTGGTTGACAAAGGGAGTTGTCATGGGTAGGTGCTCACTATTAAATAGAAGCTTCATGTAGAGGGCAAAGGAACTGCTCTATTTATAGAGAAAATATAGCAATATCATTGCAATTTGACCTACTCCTGTGTTGAGCTAGCAATATGTATGCAAATGATGAAAGTAAATTGCAAGTTAGCCCTACGTATTTATGGCTGTGTGATTTTCCTCTTCCTTTTCTGCTGTGATGTTCAGGGAAGGGAGGACCACTACCATTGGGATGAGGAGGACTTATATTTGTACAGCACTACACAATGCTCTGCCTATAGACCTGGCTCTTGAAGGAGACAGACTTTTCTCTATTAAGTTATAATCAGACAGCTATTGACTCTTCCTGGAAGAAAAAAGTGAGATGCCACCGCAGCCTACAGATTTGGGAGGAAAACTGGCTACATTCTAGTATGGAAAGGGGTGTAGAACCCTAGAAAAGAGCATTTAGGGTGAGGTAGAGAGATGAGCTCTGTTCGGGTATTAGCAGAAAATCAAGTTGACTCTTCTCAATTTGCTAACATTTAAGGAATTGTGAGACTGGTCATCGAATTTGTATTTCTGTGCAACTTGCTTCACATTGTACCCAATGCTTAATGGAAATGTTATGTAATAGTTCTGCTTAGCTGTTGGAAAAGCAGTATTTAGTAATAAAATGGAGTGAATTAATGGGAAAATGTTCCTCAAGCAACAATAGCTTTAGGAGTACAGGACAGTTTGACTTCTAGGGTCATCAAGAGCCACCATCTCCTCCCTCACAGTGACCACATTTTTGAGACCAGGAAAGTAGTGATGGAAGCTTGAAGGTCGAGCGTAGCCCTAAAATATCTCCTTGCAAATGAAACTTACCAAGTGTTTATCATCAAACACTCCACCATCTTTCAAACATTAAAAATTGTCAGTGATTACCTCTCTTGCCAGGCTTCAGCTCCACACCTTCTTCACATATAGCACACTCCAGTGAGCGACACCATCAAAGTAGGGGACATTCTCACTGGAGGGGCCTCTTGCTCACCGAGGGCAGGGAATAAGCATAACAGGAGGCATACATACATGCCCTGCAGCAATTCTTGCAAGCCCTGCTGGGATTTGGGTGGTAGTGTGCTCTTTGAGTTGACATAACAAGTAAGATTAGTAAGCTTCCTGGCCTCTCCTGGGCTGTCTCAGCTGGCTGCTTCAAAGGACAAATTCAACTGAAAGATCATCTGGGTCCCGACACAGGGTTTGCCACTAATTAGTGCTTGACATTTTTACTTGCAAATCAACAGGATTGGACTACACCGTCCCTCAGTCCACTACAGCAGTGACCTTTCACTGTTCCATTCTGGGGGGTAGGGGAGCTGGTGAGGGTGGGGTTACCAAGTTATCTGGTAAATCCAAACCAAAGGTTGCAAGTTGATGGTCAGATCTGGCTTGCAAATGTCATTCATTTACACTCCCCTGTGTTTTTAGTTTTAAATTCATCACAAGCATTTAAAAATAGGGAGATATACCCTCATCATTTCTAGCATGTCTCAAAAATTCTGGTCTGGTCACACAGGGCCCTCATTCCCAGGTGGCGGCCTCCGCCAGAGCAGGCATGCTTGTCCATGGTCCACCTGGCCCATTTTTCTCACTCCCATCCCTTCCCAACCACTGCATAAATTTGAGTTTGCAAGTTCCTCGGAAAACTTTCTCTATTTCCCGTATCACGTGAGACAATGACATTTGGTAAAGAACACATATTCAGGCCCGTTTCTCTGCTGCTTGGACTGCCTCAGCAGAGGGATTTGTGTGAGTACATGAGCTATGAACATCCCCATCTGGTTTGTTTCTGAGCCCAGATGGCGGGAGAGCTAGAAGCTGAACACCTGGTGATGGTTCTAGAAGCTCCCCATCAAGGTGGCTGCATTACAGATGTGCATGAAGTCTGGGAGAGATTCTACATGAACATCTGTGTGCATCAGAGAAAGACAAGACCCAAAGAGGAAACTAAGCTTGTGGAGTTTTCAAGTGTCTTTTCCTCTTCCTTCCTCCAGGTCCGTGCCACAAACGGCGGGCGAGTGGGTGCTGTACCCAGCTTGGCTCGCTGTCAGCTCTGAAGCATGCTGTCGTGGGCCTCTACCTGCTGGTCCTCCTGATTCTCGTGGGCATCTTCATTTTAGCAGGTAAGTGCAGCCCTTTTCTATGCTGGCCTTTTGGAAGGAGAAGAGGAGCTCTTCATTCCTGCTGTCAGGAGCCCACATGGTGCTCTTGTCACCACGGAAACCACAGAAGAAGCTGGCTTGACAGGGCTCTTTGGTAGCATTGTGTGTTTTATGTGGGATGGTGGCAGAGACTACTTGAGCCTGCAGAATCTGAGTGTAGTGGTGGAGATCCAGCTGCTCAGCGTGGCTTCTGACTTCCTCCGTCCTCATGGGACACTGCATTACACTGGGCCTCCTTGCACCTCTGGGGTGTTGTTTGCATTGGGCAGGGGGGACATCATTCTTGCTCCTTGTCCCGGGGTGCCATAAAATAGTCACAAGGAGGGCCAGGGATGTAGCTCAGCAGTATGGTGCCTGCCTGGCAAATGCAAGGCCCTGAGTTCAATTCCTGGTGCGCGCGCATGCGCGCGCGCACACACACACACACACACACACACTAGTTACAAGGCACTCTGCTCCTGAGGCTAATTGGGTCATGGTAAACCTTTGCAATTACTGGGGGTAGAATCAGTTTGCCCCAGCTCAGCCAGGCTCTCCTCCCCAATTTCTGTTTGTGAGATGGGCTGGGGTTTGGAGCACATTCTCTAGCCAGAGAGAAACAGAGTTCATGATCTTAGAAGGGATCAAATGAGGGGCTTGTGGACCTTGATTGGGAAGCAGTGCCATTCACCCCTTGGGCTGTCCTGCTGGGCTGGAGCCATACAGCAGAGCTGTGGTGTCCCCTCCTGGCCCTCTCCCACAAGAGGGCCCTCCATTCCCATCTTTCTCATTGGACATAGGTAGGGCTTGACAACATGGGACCGAGAGACCAGTTTATTTCAACCCAAAACATCTCATGTGAGAACCTACGTCCTGCCAGGCTCTGTGCTAGGACTGGGGACCCAGAATTAAGACTCAGGGACTTCTCAAGGAGCTTCTAGTCTACAGGCCATGGGAGGGTCAGGCAGATGAAGCCCTGTCTCAAGGTGGGACACAAGGGTACCGTGATGTGGCTGGGGACACAGAAGAGGCATACGCTTTAACACTGTGGCTGCTGCACGGAGGAGGGTGGAGTTGTCAGGGTGTAGCTGCTGGCCAGGCAGAGCTGACTTGCTGTGCTGGGGCGGGGTCCTCAGTTAACTCTGGGGCAGGAATCTGGAGGTTCTGGCCTTACAGATGATCCTTTGCCAGAAACCCTGAGGCAGATGCCCAGGACCTCCCTGGTTGAGACTCACTCTCTCAAGTAGGACTCGTCACTGGGGGACTGCGATGGCATACTCAATGTGGCGTGTGTCTTCAGGGTTCCACACTCAGGGGCGTCTGTCCCAACAACCATGGACCTGTGGCAAGGGGTGAGGGGCAGCCAACAGCAACAATAAGAGACTCTCATGATTCATCCCAGGGCCCGAATGGTGTCCAGCAGGTCTATCATGGGCTGAGCCAGCCACAGGATGATTTGAACATGTTCTTGGGCTGCTCAGTGAGAGCTTAGGATCTGGCTTTTGTGGATTTGGCTGCCAGGACCATAACAAATTTCTGGAATGTTTGGAAAGTATTTCAGCCCAGCAGGGAAACCAGATGATGGTGTTACAACTGCTCTGCAGACCAGGAACTTTTAGGTGACAGAAAGGGTCTAGAAAAGAGGGACAGGGCTGGTGGGGGCCTTGGGATAGAGGGCTTCAGCCCTAGAACAGCATCATCTCCTGGGGAGGAGAAGATACTCAGTTCGGGAAGGGGAGACTTCCAGGGGAGGAGAGTTCTCTTCTGGTGTCCTAGGGGTTACCGTGTGGGAAACAGCAACCATGCCGTGTGACCTCAGGGCAGACCTAGGACCAGTGAGTGGAGATTATAAAGAGACAGATTTCCATTCAAAACAGAGGAGAGTTTCCTTACTAGTTGAGCTGTCCAACATTGTGCAGAAAAGCTTTCCCTGGTGTGGAGGTTGAATGGGATTTATGATGACATCTTGGAAGTGTCAGAAGGGAGACTGAAACATGATTTCCCAATCTCGTGAAAATGTTGCTGCATGTCCTTTACTCACTCCAGGTGGAAAACAGGGGAAGATGTTTTGATCATTATAATCACCTTCAAACCTAAAGTTTCCGGCACCACATGTCAGTACGGAATGAAAAATTTGGGGGAATTGGAACTGACATGAGAAAACGTGTCGTACTTCATTTCTTGGCTCTGGGTGTGTGGCCACTGTCACCTCCCCAGGTTCTTATCTGGAAACCATGCTGGCCTGGGGGTGGGGTGGGTGGGAATGACCAGTGAGAGAGCAGAGCTCACAGTTGCCTGTCCCATAGGGAGGGGAACAGGACGGACAAGACTCCTGTTCCTTAAGGAGACTCTGCCTTGTCTTAGGAAGGATTCTTCAGATCACCTGATGGGAAACCTCCAGTGATGCTCCCTTCCAGCAAATACCAAGATAGCGGACATCCATGGTTCAGGGTAAACCACAGTTGGCCTGGGCCTCTGTTGGATTCCTACTGTGGGAGCTCCCTCCTCTTGTTGTCCATATTCTAGAGAAGTCATCTTGCATAAGACAGCTATTGGAACCACTCTTAAACTTCAAAACCTGTCAACACAAATCTCATATATTCTACTACTACATGACAAAATTATCCATTGTGACAAGTGCCATATCTGATAGCTGATTGGCAACATCTCATTGGAGTACACATGCTCTTACAGTTTCAATATTTAAAAATTATAACCTCATTGTGTCAAAATATTACTCTTATAAGCTGTACAGGATTTCTCCAGAGTCATCTACCTGCCCAGAATATTCAAAATAAAAACAAACACTGTGGGCTGGGGGTTTGCTCAGTGGTTCCGGCGCCTGCCGAGCAAGTGCAAGGTCCTGAGTTCGATCCTCGGTACCAAAAACAAACAAAAACAAACATTGTACCTTGTGTTTATGCATCACCCTAGCTCCCTCGTCAGAAGATTAATCCAGCCTTCACTCAAATGATTCTTCCAGTTGGCCTTTCTGCCTTCCACGTAGCCATCTGTTCCTGACCATATCCCCCCAGGAACCGTCCTTCGACACTCTGATCCCATCCCATCCTATCCGATCTCATCCCCTCAGCTCACAGCTTTCCATCCTCTTTGAAGAGACTGCCACAGTCAATTCCTTCCACCCTCAATTTTTTCTTTTTTCTCTCTCTTCAACACGGTTTGTCAGTTATCTCGTTGATAGTTGCTCATTCTGTTCATCTGTTTTGTGCTGTTTGAGATTCACTAGAGACAACACAGACCATTGGGTTTCAGTTCACGAACAAGACTTGTTCTTGGATGGGCATGCAGTCAGGAAGCTGCCAAGTAGTAGATGTTCTCTTTGGTGGAGTTAAAGGGGATGAGGGGTCCCCATAACTATTTGGGGATACCACTGCAGTGATGAAGTGTGGTCATTAGGAATTGTCTCTTCCTTCCCTTTCCTGTGACAACTCTATTCACAATTGTGAGAGAGCAAACAGGGAAAGTGCTAACATCAAAAGGCCTAATCTGGGGGGACATTGCAGGATTGTAGCAACAGATGGAGCAACTGGATTGGGCAGAGTTCCTGGTGAGATGGGGGGAATACTCTCACACCTTCATTTAACTTTCTCAGCAGTCGCCGTCATCATCGTCGTCGACATCTTCAACAATCACTCAACTTGTGCCTGAGTGCTTGGTGGTACAGGGCAAAAGGACAAGCCCTGGGGTGAACACAAACTCCTGCGATGGACTGGACAGGGAATATGATGTAACTCATGCTACATTCTAAATAATGCAAAGGAAATCCCAATTCCCAAGGGCTGGAGTCTTGGGAACAGCCCAGCCTAGGGAAGAAGAGTCTAAATGTCATATGAACTTCAAGTCCCTTTTTCTGATCACCTTGTTTCAAGCAGTTCAGCCCCTGCTCTCTATGCTGAGAACAGTGTGCTCAGAGCCCACACCCTTCACACCCTAGGTTCTGAATCGATCGCTCATCTTGGAAATCAGAGTGTGATGCCAGTGGCCTTCCTTGGAACACTCATCAGAGACAATCCTGTGACATTTCATCCTTGCGGTTATTGCAAGGATGTCATTGAGGGCGTTGTTCATGAAGTTGTAGCACTTTGACCTCCAAGGACCCATGAGAAATTATTTTGTGTCTTGGTTGCAGAAGGAGGTACGCACTTCTTAAGGAATTAGTTTCTTTTCACCTTGAGGCTGTGAATTTACAAGACATTAAAATCCCTGGAAGGAGGTAATTAATACAGTCTGACAGTCAGCTGCAACCCTTTGCACCATGTATGAATTCAGAGGTAACTAAAGAAAGCCGAGGATCAGCTCTGCTCAACCCACAGTGAGCTACAGCCTGTGGGAGTCTCTGTGTGGGTCTCATTTCTGGCCCTGTTCTACCTTTGCCTTGTTCTCACCTTTCTCTACTTAGTGTCTTTTGTGTAAACACCCTTGGCCTTTTTTGGGACAAGGAAGGGTGTTATGCTTTTAAAAAATTCTGCCTGTTCTATTTTTTTTTTTGGTACTGGGGATCGAACTCGGGTCCTTGCACTTGCGCAGCAGGCGGTGAAAGCACTGAGCTAAACCCCGGCTTGCTTGTTCTATTTGAGTCTTTAAGTGCATGATGTTTTAAGTATGTGAATGGATGAATAAACAAATGAAGGAATGATAGAGAGAGAGAAACTTAGCAAATCCTTGTGGAAAAAAGATTATTTCAGCTTGGAAATGACACACTTTTTTTTTGTACCGGAGATCGAACTCGGGTCCTTGCGCTTGCAAGGCAGGGAGTGGCTAAATCCACTGAGCTAAATCCCCGGCCCAGGATTATTTCAGTTTAACCAAGTATCTAAAGAATGTGAAAACTGAATTGCCATACAAGGACATTTGGCTAGGAGAAGAAATCGGTGTGTAATTAATTATATTAATGCCCGCTCATCACAGCATCAGTACTGACATTACAGCATTCAGAAAGAATATTAGACCAGGGAAGGTCA